CTTAGTTTTTTTCAGTTTATTTACTTTGTGTGTTTGACAGCACTTTGAGATAGTCAGTTCTGCTTTCTTCCCTCTGTAGCCATTTGCACCTTGATCCTATAACAGGCTGAAGCCAAAGGAACTTCATGTGGGTATAGGGTTCCATCTATATAGTCACTTACAGGATTTGCACTTTAGTCAGTCAGTTTCCTCCTTTATTTATGTGGGTCTTTCACACAGAAGCAGAAGACAGAAAAACATCTAAAAATGGTCACCTGTGACTGTAAAACCCCAAACTGGCAGAGGAGTAGGGGCTGGGTGGAGTACCAGACAATCTACATTTTAAAAAACTTGACTAGATTCCAAGATGATGTATCTATTTAAGACAGATATCAATGGGAGTTTTGTTTGAGTAGGCACTGAGACAGGGCTTCAGGATTTTGGTCCTAGGGTTTTGTGTTTTTTTGTTCTGGATGGTCTTCTGAACCCCTCCAAGAGCCTAAGGTATTCCTTCCATATTTCTTTCCCTTAGTCTCCCTCTCCTCAAATCACACAGTAACAGAATTTACCATGCCAGATCAGATTACTGAGCTCCCAAATCTGGTACTCTACTATTGGCTGTGGCCAATACCTGATGGTTCAGAAGAAAGTGAAAAACACCCAGAATGCACTTTGCCATTTGTATGATGAGGGTACATGTGGGAGGACTGATTCCTTCCTGACTTCAGTGGTGATCATCTTATGTAGAGAAGCAAGACATTTGACTACCCCCCTCAGTATGTAGAATTACAAATGATACCATTGTTCATAATATTATCGCGCCCCTTTTAAAATCCATCAGCAACTTCTTGGCTCTAAAGAGCAGAGGAAGACTCATGAATGATACTCATGTTTAAGCCACATGGCATCATTCCCACCACCTTCCCTCTACCCTACTGGAAGCCTCCTCCAGTGCTCCAAATTCCTTATGAGCAGTAAGAGGCTATGGGGAAATCAAACTCCAGGGAGGTGCTGAGCACCACAGCTAGGCCACTGGGTCAACACAGTGGGGAGGTTTAAAAGAATATACTCCTTTTGAGAATGCTTCCATATTTTTAACAAAATAAAACATCCTGAAAGATTAAGTTCTGGGCTCTGCTAAATGCAAAACACACATGAGCTGCACATGAGTAGCTGTTAACATTTGGTAATGATGCAATCAGTGAAGGGAAGGCATATAGCATAGACACGGCTGTACTAGTAACTCAATTATTCTGAAGACAAGAAGTCCACATGCATATAATTACTGGTAAATCAACTCCTTGTTCATAAAACAGAAGCATGGCCTTGTACCCAGCCAGTTTATAGGTGGGGTTTTTTTTTCCATTGGTCAAATACTCAGCAGAATGACAGTCTATGTAACGCAATATTCATGCAATAGAGTTAATTCAAAGATAGGTTATATCAATAACTTCCATAAAATGCATGTATAGACAAGAGCTTGGCTTCATGGGGGGGGGGGGGGAGGGGGACCTGTATAATATTAGTATAACGTTAATGTGAAACAACTATCAAGAAAAGAAATCATAATTTTTCAGGGTTTTGTATATTTTTAGTCCCACCTCCTTCAAAGATGATAGAATACTCAAAGTGATCACTTACTCTCATAAGGCCCAATCCCCATCAGTTTTTACTGACTGTAATGGGAGTTTTAGATGAATAAGGAATACAGAATTGGGCCTTTATATGTTTACCACAAATAAGCCTTCCAAATCCCTGAACACATGTCTCGTTAATTATATGTATGTATAATAAATGTCCCAGATGTCAGATTATTATTATTTGCAATCTGTAACTGTACTGATATTACATTTCTGCAGATTAACAGTGCAATGTTTGCCATCACTAAATTGAAATAAACATTCAATTTAAATATCAGAACCTGTCTAGTCAGCAATTTTATCCCAGAGACAAAATTATCTTCTAAAATGCTCCTGCCAAGGAAGGTTAAATACCTAAATATGACCTCATTTTAATAAAACCAGGACTTTGGAACTTGAAAGATAATGGTTTCTAGGCACAGAGTTTTCAAGCGTTCTATCATCTACTGTCTTTAGATTTCACATTCAATCTCCTTTTACAGATCTCTGTAAAACAACTCAATTACTGACTGTTTGGACTTTTATTACCTAACCCAAAACAAGATACATAGGGATTGCTGCAGAAACCAAAGCTCAGCTGCTTTTTGAGTTTGCAAAACTAGTGGCACAAAAATAATATCAAGAAGCTTTGGAATCTATTGTCTACATGGGTCTATTATTCTTTGACTCTCTGAATTTCCACATATATTCTGACTACAAGTGTCTTTAACCTCAAATGGACTGTCAAGCAGACACCAGATGCCCCCTTATTCCCTCGGTGCAAACTATCAGTAAACCTTAGCATAACTTTACTTTGAGCCTTAAACTAACAGCATGTGAAAAGATTAATATGAATAAATTCAAAACTAATCAGATCCCTTCTTTAAATGTTGACACAGTATTATTTATATCCCATAAATACCTTCTTGACTAAAATTCATCCCAGGAGATTGGCATCTTGCCAGTTCTATTCATATTTACGGTATTTATATAGTACAGTTGGCCAAGGATAATATTTAAGACAAAATATGCCTTAGGGTATATACAATATCTCTTATAGTTTTCCTTTTACATCTCCTCATTGCTAAAAATATTTAGTCTGAACTGTATAAAATGCCTCACAAAGACCTATCAGCAATCTGCAGTGATATATAGCTGACTATGAGTATAATTAGAGCATATTTGTAATACTTGGTCTGTAGTCAGTTACTGAACGCTAACAACTTTGTGGTTAAAAACTCAACCACTGATCTTTCCCATGCCTTCATCTCAGCAGCTTTTGACCTTCAATGCATTCATATTGATCTCCTTCTCCTTCCTCATCACTGTCCCAGCGGGATCAGGAACTGCAGAGTTATGACAATTATTCAGTGAAGTCTAGGAGAAAGTGCAGCCAATGCTGCACTTTCAATTTGTTTGTTTAAAATATGGTGGAGCAATTCCTTCCTTTCTGTCTTTTTTGGAAAGGTTCGCTCAATCCAGTATAACTAGAGAGCAGTGGAAAAACAGTTAACCTACTTACTATGATGTTAACCACGGCACTTGCACAGTAGTATTGGATCTGTTGCTAAATGGCCTTCTGATCCCAAACTTCTGATGCACTCTGTTGGTAGATACCTGAAGTCTATTTTATGCTGCCAAAACCCTTACTAATACTTCAGCACTGTTCCGGCTTTTGACAATATTTTAAAAATAGACCCTCTTTTGTCAACTTTGATGTCACACACTTCAGATATTTTAATTTTCTGACAAGTATACGGCTGGATTTGATAATAGTAACTCTTTGTGTGATTTTCTTTGGGGGAAAAAGGGGGCAGATCTGTGGTCAGGATCAATGCACCTTGCCTTCAAAAACCCTCTATTACATGTTCATACCCGTATATCAAGGAGTTGCTACTACTTCCTGTGGCCTTTGTTAGTAAATACTTGCTACCAGGCTCAGAGCATGAGGTGTTGGGTCTCAAAACAAAGTTCTGACTTTCACCAAAATACCAGCAAGGATGGTGTGGCAGTGAGGGTGTGGGTGTGTGTTTTGAAGGAAAACTGCCACGATTTCTACGTTCGGTCTCAATGTTATTGCTACAAATTACACTGAAGCTTTTGCGCATACCCACTTGGCTCCAATATACATAAAAAAATCTTCCTTCCCCCAGGGTAACAAGGGTGGAGTATATTTATCCTAGCTGTTATTGTAATTACAATAATAAAATGGCTTTGACTGCGAGGATGTCCTGTACCTGATGGTGTCATTTAACAGTAAAAGAAGAAAAAGGCAGCTGCAAAGAGTGGGGTGCGGACACTTTGGCTGGCATCATGGGACTATCGCATGCAAGACACAGCAAGCTATAAAGCTACAACTTGTTAAAACTAAAAATAAATAAAAGAAAATGCAATTAGAAACTCTAGGATAAAGTTACCAAGATGGCTACATTATCTATTTAAGCAAGAGGTATGTACTTTTCAAAAACAGACAGCAAATATATAGGGCATCAAGTGGAGGGTGGGGGAAGAGGGAGGGAAATGAACAGATTAGGCACTGGAGTTTCGGATACACTGATGGTGAAGTTATGTTTTTCTCTCTCTGGTATTTAACCTTCCTTGGCATGAGCAGCTAGTTTGGTTTTTTTAAGGACTTTTATGCTTTTCTGCACACCCACCGCTGCCGCGACCAAAAGAAAGAGGCATGTTATGATGATTTGTATTCATTATAGGTGGGATCTGATGAGATACCAGCACATAACATTTTTCCCTTTTATTGTTCAGAATGAGATGTGTATCATCAGTGTCATTCAAAAAAACAGTGAAGGGCAGAAAAATGAGAGGGGTTCCAGGAACCTGGCACTAAACAGAAGGGAGAACTTCTTTGTACCTAAATTAAAGGCACCATGAATTGCAAGAGTGGCTATTAAACTGCAAACAGAAGGGAGAGGTCTCTGCAGTTGTCCTTTCTTAGGGTACCAATTTAAGAAGAGATCTTGAGAATGATGTTCTGGGGATTGGGGAGTTGGCAAGGATGGGGAAAGAAGCCTGGGATTCTTTTTTTTAAACACCTTTTTTGAAAAACGCAGGGATAGACTGAGGCAAATTGAGGGGAAGAACAGCTGTGGAAAGAGATAGGGTCGTTTTAGAGAGGGAAGGGTGTGGGGGTGCAGCACGCCCAGGTCCTAGGGGCACACACAGTGACGTGTGTGATGAGTTTGAGGGAGAGGGTGAGAGGAGATCAAACACAACAGATCTGCAAGCAACCGACCCCCCCCTTCCCCCCAAAAAAAGTATGAAAAACGAACTAAGAAGATGAGTGAAATGAACAGATAAGGGGGCTTATGGTACATGGGGCAGGTATTTCAGGGCCCTGCCAAGGCTGGGGCGGGGGGTGAAATCACACACACACAGAGGACTTACTTTCGGGGTAAAAAGGCAGCATGTCTATTTTGTAAACCTCTTTGGCATAATACTCCTCATCGCTCCTCTCCCTTTCGCAAGTGGCGGCTCTGTGGTTGGCTTTCTCCTGCAGCAGGTCCCTGGTGCTGTTGTAGATGGAGATGACCTCCGGGGGCACCTCCTCGGGCTCGGGGTACTCTTCAGGGGGGCTGGTGAGCTTCAGCTTGCTCAGGATCTGTCCTCGGATCGCCTCGATCCTCTTGCGCATAAACTGATCCATGTCTAGGGTACTGCAGGTAGACAGGCTGAGCGCCACCGTGGCCAGATCCAGGGTGAGCACCACGCTCAGGAGATAGCGGTGCATTTTCGGGTTTAAACCCAGCGTCCCAAAAAGAGTGACTTGGAAAAGAAGGGGATGGGGGGAGGGGTGCAAAGGAGGGGAAGCAGCTGCGGTTGGAAACGCAACCGGGTTGCCAGGAAAAGGCAACGGGGGTGCAAATGAAAAACGCCCCCGGGTTACACAGGCGAGTTGCAAAGAAAGCAGGTCGCTACCTCTGCATCAGCCTCGAAACTGAACAAACATGGGGGGGGGGGATTTTAACCAGCCCCCACCGCGGAGAGAGCCACTAGAGGAGAGTTTCCCTAGCGAGCCGGTGTGGCGGGGCTGGCCAGGGAGCAGCGCTCCTGAAGCCGGAGGGCGAGCGGGTGGCAGCCGGGCGCTCAGCTCCGGGCTTCTGCTCTGGGCTCCTCCAGCGCCACGCGCGGGACGGGACGGGACGGGAGAGGGGCGATGTCAGGGGCGGGCTGGCGGCGCGCGCTGAGCTGAGCTGAGCTGAGCTGCGCTGCTGGCCCCGCGCTGCGGAGCTGCAACAACACACGCAGCAGCTGCGAGCAGAGCGAGCCGCCCCGCAGGCGAGAGGGCGCCCACGTGTGTGTGTGTGTGTGTGTGTGTGTCGCGCGCGGGGAGAGTCCGGGACGCCCCGGGGCTGGGTGCGGGGGGGCTCTGCTCTTCGCTCCTCCGTGCGGCGCTGATCCTGCCGCCGGCACCCCGGGCTGCATGCACCGACCAGCCCCCCTCGCTTGCGGTGCAGCTTCCCCGGCGCCCTCCTCTTCCTCCAAAAAAAGCCAACCCAAGCCACAGTCAACAAGCCGGCGCTGCTGTTGCTGCGGCGGCGGCGGCGGCAGCCTCCTGTGGGTCGCGAGCCCGGGCGTTCAAAAGGTGCTTTGCCCCTTTCTCCCTCGGGGGCACCTCTCCCCCCTGGCTTGGTTTCAGAGCTTGCCACGCACGGCCCGATCCGCGCAGCTCCTGCTTTACTTTATCTGCAGCCCCGTTAGTCTCTCTCTCTCTGTGTCCTCCTGCCTCCCTCCCTCGCTGAGCCCCGTTGCTTTCCTCGCGAAGAGGGAAACTTTGCCAGCAGATAACATCACGCTCTTGCAGGGAGAGGGAGATTTATAAGGTCTCCCTGCACCACGTGTTTGCCTCCCAACAAAATGACGTGGTGGGATTGCATGGAAGAGGATTCCTCTCGCGTTTCCCTCACCCCGGCTCCTTAGTCCCTCTGTGCAGCAGGCAGGGGCCCCGCCAGCCAGCATTAGCGGTGCATACGCTTCAAGGTGCCGCACCGCGCGGGGTCGGAGAGAAGGGGAGGGGGGACGCGAGCTGAAAAGCCAAAGCAACTCTTGCCAGGCTTGCTTGGGGTTTACAGTTTCTTGAGCCTGTTATTAACGTCATGGAGCCAAAGCGCACCGCGGCTTTCAACTGTGTTGCAGGCAATTGACTGGCACCCGCGATAGGGGTCACTGTCATGCCTGCCCCACCTTTTGTGGAGCTCTGTGAGGTATTTCTATTAGAAAAGTATGTGCAAATAATTATGGTTCATTATTAGATTAGGCAGCAAATTTGGCCCATTGTTTTAATAGTCAACAGAAGGTATTCTGGCTTTGCTCAATTCCCTCGCCTGTACTTAACTTCTACTTCCATACACATTTTGTGGCCTCGTTCTCATCATTCTCTCTCCTCTGAAGTGTTACCTGGTTATCATTATACTCATTAGGACTGTGATGATGATTCTCTCCTGCCTTCTCCTAGGTGTCCTTTGTGCATTGTCATTTGTACTAGGCCACTCAGTTGCTCACTCCAGGAGCTTTTTAATTTCTGTCTCTCTAATCTGATCTCTCAGTTACTTCTTATATCCACCACAGTCTCCTAGATGTTATATATAGAATGACCTGTTGGGTTTACCTTGTCCATCTTGGTGCCAATGCATGATCATTCCTTCTTTGTACATAGGGAATTGCTAGTGGTTTGACTTAAATGCATTCTGCCCATACTGCATTCTGGCCCTGCTCTTGAGAAATTATTCTACAGTCAAATAGATCTCATTCTTAACTTCATCCCCTATGTCTTTTCTTTTTCTGTCACAGTCCATTTATCACATCTGTACATCAGCATGAATGAACTTCATGAAATGATCAAGTAGCCTTTGTTCCTTTAACACCCGCCATTATATCCCTACATTCCCTTAAGCATTAAGTTGTCATAATTTTTCACTGGATGTGTTAAGAGAGAGAGAATCATTTGGGAGCCTCTACTAAGTCATCTAGCCCACGCTCTTCCATAGTGACCAGATTGTTTCTAAACCTCCTGTTATGGTATAAGATAGGGGTGTAGGAGCATTCAGTGCAGCATGATGACATAAGGGGCATAAAGGGTTAGGACCACAGCTATACTATTCCTAATTATGTTAGAAAAAATGTACAGAGGAAGCGAGATAGGACGGCTCAAATATCCCAAAAGATATAGGCCCAGATCCTTAGATGGTATAAATCAACACAGAACCACTGAAGTCAAAAGAGTTATACCAGTTTATACCAGCTGATGATCTAGCCTTAGAAGTACTGTTTCTAGGAAGTATTACAAAGATTTTGAAGACTTGCTAGTCACTTGAAAGTGGTAGCCCTTAGATTAAGGGCAAGATTTTACTTCTCAGTATGTCTGCAAGGAAAACAGCTTCCTTACAGCAGTTATAATGGGGGGGGGGGATAAAAGGGCCTAGCAGTACTGAACTACTGCATGTTGTTCGCAATGGCAGGGCTCCACTGTAGGGAAAGCAGTGTTGCCAGCGCACTGCTGAGGATATAAGCAAAGAAGAGCCTTCCTACTGGATAAAGGACATGAGAATACTGTATATTTGAAAGGTCATTTTTTCATCGTTTGAAAGTAAACACGTTTAAAAATAAGCAGAGATGGATGGCACTGCAGCCACACAACTGACATTGCACCAGTCCTGAATATCGCATTTAATGGCACCTGTCCATTTAAACCTGTTTGAATTCCTACAGAGAGCTGAATAAAAGTTTTCCTCTCACATCACCACATTTTGATTGTTTTCTGTGTCAATGTCTTACTCTTCTTGACCTGAAAGGTACAGCTCCAGTGATAATGATTTGGGAAATAATATGGTTTCCAATATCAGGCGAAATGAAATTGAATTAGTGGATTCATTTGATCTTATTTCTGTAAGATTCCTGTTTAAAAACAAAACGCTATTTCCTCAGCTAGTATAAATTGATATAACTCCATTGACTTCACTCACCAACTAAAGATCTGGCCCTGCCACCCGTTGGATCTAAGATGTGAATGTTTCTGAACATAAGTTTGTGAAATTAATGTAGTTCCTCCCAAACCTGTACCTGAAACCATGAAGAAATATACCTTAATACATCCAGGGCCACATAAGAATTTACAGTTGTTACTACGCTGTACCTCATGCCAATCCACAACTTCACAGCGACAACACAGCTAGAACGCAGATCCTCCTACTCAAGCACTAGCCCACAGCATGTGAGCATTTAGACTCTCTTCACTAGCTGTCCGCAATGATAAGCAGAGCTGGGCAGAGAAAGGTAATTCTCCTTCAGGATTTTGATATTTTGAAACTTGCTTTTTAGGAAGTTAGGAATAAAAAACAAAAATTTCAAAATTCTCTGTGGACCCTAGGGTCTCTGACTCTGAGGCAATCTGTTTGGGGGGCTGCTCCAGAGCCGTAGACCCTTCCAGGTAAGCTGGGGAGTGAGGCAAATGAGCTGGCAGGAAAGCGCGCAGGTTTCAAAACCTGGCTGGTTTTCAGCTAAATGTCAGCGAAATTGAATGGTCTCCAGGAAATGTTTTGATTTTGCCAAATCAGCAAATTCCAGAAGAAGAATGTTGTGCCAGAACTTTTCCGATCAACTCTCGTTACAAGTCTTATAACCTACAACAGAGCAGTTCTTATGCTGTCCAGTAGAGAGGCCAATAGTGGTTCACACACACAAACTACCAGTTCATTACACACTTTCTTAGTTTGACAAATCTCAACCTCAAGTGTCTGGCATTCACTATAGTTCAGCTCTCAGTTTGACATCAGTGTAACAAATCTGTTGCTACCTAAGGCTTCTTGGTATCACTATGGTGCAAATTATTGCCATTCAGAAGCTCTCAGGAGCAGCCGGGATAGAATGTAGACTCCTGTTCCAAAAGCATAGATGGATCCCTACCACTTGATCTAAGCCCCTACCACCTGTAACATAGGGCCTGATATACACAGCTCAGCCATTGTGATTCTCCCTAGTAGAGAACATTCTAGCCAGTTCATTACAATATATACCAAAATACACAAGCACCAGGTTTCCATTTTGAAAATTTGGAATTCTCTCTCTCATAACACATTGCCTACTTTCTATGTGCACCCAAAACTCTTGCTCCCACATATTTTCTTGTGGATATACAAGCAATGCAGAATTGGACCCCAAAGAAATTATGGCCCAACCTCTGTTTATCATGGACATGTGACCAATTGCATTGAGTAAGGCAATCAAGATTTGGCCCTGTAACTTTTGCCATTTTAATGTGCATGGTCCAATGCAATTCTGCTGGATAAAGTGCCATAAACTAAACATACTTTCAGAATTAAACAACCACATGACTTTCAATACAGGTAATTCAGTTTTTGAGTTATAACTTTATTTTCACTCTGCACATATCTAATAGGCTAAACTATCATAATTAACCCTTGCATTTTATTTTGGGAAGGTATCCCTTGTATGTATTACATTCTAAAGAGTGAATTAGAGTGAAAAACTACTGTGGAAAACATTTACTAAACACAAATGCAGTTAAATTTCATTTGATCTATATTTTTTTTTAAATGGACCCCATCCTGCATTTCTTGGGCACCCAAATGTGAGTGAAGAAAGCACAGAGAAAGAACAGGACTTATCTGTTCTTGTGCTTTCAATTCAGTACAATGCTGTCTTTTTATATGTTGATTTTTTTTTAATAAACAGTAACTGTTTATTACAAAAACAGGGACACCTGGAAAGTTACTTCACACACTGAACTTAAGGCTTTCATGTTTCCTGTTAACTTAAAAATTATGTGGTCTGGATTTTACAATTTGTGGTTTCTTTTTTAGATTGTTTTGGTTATACACAAATGTGCTGTGCAAAATACAATGGCAATAATCTTTCTCAAACTGCTGACGACCAGGTCATTAAGTAAGGTGGCTGGCCACATTTCATAAACTAGAGAACATTGTTGGAGAAGGAATAACTTTTAAAATTTAAGAGGCACATTTCATAAGCTTCACATTGATGACGAGCGTCTGACAATTGCACAATTAATTCTTTGTGGCATACACAGAACTTTGCAGCAGTTACTCTGCTCATGTTGAATCTTAGCTGTTCTGACGCAGTCTGCCAGGCAAGAAACTTGCGAATTCTCCTTTCTATAAAAACAAGCACACACAACCGTTCAATTTCTAGAGCAGAGGTGGCACCTTATAACAGTGAGATGAAGAGATGACAAATAGAAGAAAACCGTACGTAATAAAACACTTGATTTTACCATTTGGTGTAGCTGAAGGCACCAGTCCTCTACACTTCGGTATTGTGCTTTTCATTAGTGAGCATAGTGATTCCTATGTGTACTTGACACCAAAATCCTATTGAGCTTACTTCTGCAAGTGGCCCCATTGCCACCAGGATGTGTCTCTTATTTCATACAGGACTCTGTCCTGCAGCCCTTACGTTTCAAAAACATTGACTACTTTTTATCTCTGGCTGTTCGACATAAAATTAAAATGATCTTATGTTAACATAGTGATTTTTGTTTTAGAGGCCCAAAGTTCTTTGCATACTTTACAAAGTGAAGGTCTGATCCTGCAACCTTTCCTCACAAGTAGTCCCAGCTCATGCAAACAGACCTCTTGGCTTCATTAGGAGTGTTCATGTGAGAAAGAACAACAGAATTCGGTCCAAATAACTTTTTCCACTTATACAGTGCCAGCACCTCTGAGTTGAAAGACGGGAACTGTTCTCCAGTGCATACCACCACTACACAACAATTTAAGACAGGAAACAAAGAACAATACCACAAGCAACTGAAGGTATAGTGCAAATTTAGAATGGACTATGACCAGAATACCAGCATTAAGACACCTAAGGCCAGATCAACCACAGATTTCCCTAACTGGAGGAGTATGCAGTCCCCGGTAGGTGCTGAGCTGACATAGCTATCTCTTGGACCACTCCTCCCGGCA